ACCAGATGTGAATAGCACAGAATCCTATTTTTCCAAAGTTGTTTAGGTGTTTAAAACAGGAATTTTAGGAAGCCCTTCTACACTTTCAAAATGTTTCCTTCATTGGCTATAAAAATTATTCAACTGCCAACATTCGGGATAATTTTTGTTTGATGACAAGCACATTCCTCTCTGTTTAGTCAAGACAGCACTAATATGGTACCTTATCTGTGGTAGGTTTCAAGGGCCTGGTTGTTGAGTGATTGCATGTGCCTTATAAGGACAAATGTCTCCCCAACGTTGGTCACTTGTTTAGTTCTTGATGTCTGCCTGCGTCAGAACTGTCAGAAATCATGACCTTTGAAGCAATCAGCAGGCACCTGAAGATGAAAAGAAGAATGGCGTTTAAAACGATCATTAAAGGGGAAAATACTTAGGAGGCAGGGATCAGGGCAAATGAAGTCACCTCTTTACATCTTGCTGAACACTCAGTTATCCACTTGCCATTGGCTTTGAGTCTTCATAGGCTGCTGAAGGACTGGCACTTGGCTGCCTGATAAATTATCCAGCTCATCCCCAAATACAGTCTGCAGCAAGGCATTGCATTCATCTGCTAGGCATCAGAATATAAGCTGCTTACGTGAGAACAAACCTCTCTCCTGAATTTCTTGTTTGTTTTCCCTCCCTGGTAAGTAACACCTGTTTCTCACCTGTCTGAATGAGAACTTCCACAGTAGAATGATCATTTTCCCTCTGTGCTCATATATGTTCTATATTGCTGCTCAAAACTGGTTTGCCACCAGTTTTATACTCAATTTCACATCTTTGTCTAAGAATCCACATCCAGAGTCCAGCAAAGGAATTGATATAAGTAATTTTCTCCTGCATGTAAAAGGATGTAAATTCCTCTGGCCCCTCTCTGGGTAGTTTTGCATTTTGTCTTTAATTGTGGCAGGATGGAGACCAACATTTATTGAGCACTATGCAAGCAAAAGTACTAAGACTTTCAAATATGGCATCTCGTTTTATCTTACAAATACCTTATGGGGTATAACTGATGCTGTTTAAAGATCTTCATCTTTCTATGATTTGCAAGAGTTAAGAAACCTGCTATGGACAGAAATGCCACAATCCAAGTTTTATGGTGAACAACCCTGAGATAGTTATTCTGAAATCTGTGGCTTTTTCTCCAGCCTCACATTGCCTCCAAAGAGGGGGTAGAGGATGGAGAGGGAGAGGGAGGGAGGGAAGGAGGGAGGGAGGGAGGGGGGTACAGAGAGAGAGAGAGAGAGATCTGTGGCTTTTTCTCCAGCCTCACATTGCCTCCAAAGAGGGGGTAGAGGATGGAGAGGGAGAGGGAGGGAGGGAAGGAGGGAGGGAGGGAGGGGGGTACAGAGAGAGAGAGAGAGAGGAAGAAGAAGAAAGGATAAGAAGAAGATGGAGAAGAAGAGGGAGGAGGAGGAGGAGAAAGAGAGAAAACAGGAAGAAAGGAGGATAGTAGAAGATGGAGAAGAAGAAGAGGGAGGAGGAGGAGAAAGAATGCCTCATTCCTCTGGTAGCACTAGAAAAATGAGGATGTTTGAGGCTAACACACTTTGAACACTGTGTTTACTGACCTCAATATGTATTGTTAGGGTGGGAATGTCTTTCAGGAGTTGGCATGAGGTCTATATAGCTAGATTAAAAATTGGAAGATTTGAAACCTGCCACTGACTTGTCATCTGCTGAATTTTTTCTCTAGGCCAGAAACCCAATGGATGGGTAAGAGCTCTTTCTAACTCTCTGTCTTTTCTTATTAAAGGAAAGGATGACAATGAAATTTTGCAGGAGAGGTGTGGCATAGAGTCTCCTTTACAATTATTGACAAATGTTTCCAAATGAGCTAGCAGCCTCATTTCCCTACTGGTTAGGTAAGGATTAGCTCTGCTGAGTGATTGCTTTGTTTTGTTGAATGCAAGATGGAAGTTAGGGAAAGACTCATGGGTTTTGTTGCATTCTGGTCCCTAGATAACCAGAATATTTGGATAGACCTGAAGTCTTTCCAATGCTGATGTACCAGTTTTCTATTAGTGCTCTAACAAGTTACCACAAGCTTAGTAGTGAAGGAAAACATCACAAATGTTATTCTATCAGAGCTCTGGCAGTAAGATGTGTAAAATGTATCTAACTGAGTCAAAACTGAAGAGGTCAGCATTTCTTTGAGATATTCTAGAGCCTAATTTTGTTTTCTTGCTTTTTCTAGCTTGTAGAGGCCACTTGCATTCCTTAGCTCACGGCCCCTTCCTTCATCCTCTAAGCCAACAGCATAACGTCTTCAAATACCTCTCTGATTCGGACTCTTCTATGTCTTCTTCCACATTTAAGGACTCATTATTATACTGGGCCAACCCAGATAATCCAGGATTCGCTCCCCAGTTTAAAGTCAGCTGATTAGCAACCTTAATTCCATCTCCAACCTTAATACCTCCTTGGCATGTACCATAACAGATTTACAGGTTCTGGAGATTAGGATGTGGACATCTTTGGAGGTTCTTATTCTGCTTACCACGGCTGACTAGCAGGTGTTGTGTTTTAAGATGATAGGGGTACCGAAGTGGGAGCTAAAAACTTGGAGTACACTTAAAATCTCACTTCTTTTGCCATCTTTTGATAATAGCCTTCCCAGTTTGTTATGGGATGAGTGTTATTGCCTAGGGTGGAAAGGGAGACAGCATTGGGAAAGAACTAGAAAAAGTATACTTTGAATATAATTTAAGATAATGTCACTTAAACTGCTTTGTGTTGACAGAAGACAATAGAGTATAAATAAATTTGCCAAAAGTATTTTCTTATAGCCAGTCTTGTCTTTACTTTCTCAACATGACACGGGATCACAAGAAATCCACAACCACCAAGGGGTAGACATCTAAATGACATTCAGTGGAAATGTGCCTTCCAGTGAGGTTGGAACAGAGAAGTTGGCAAGAGTGAGGGGAAAGGGAGGACAAGACAGAAACTGGAGATGTAAGAGAGATGCAGGTTCTGCAGGGTCCTTAAGCCATATTAAGGTTGTTACATTCTACATGGGGTACATGGTACATGAGCAGATCGTGCAGGTTTGTTACATAGGTATATACATGCCGTGATGGTTTGCTGCATCCATCCCCCAGTCATCTACATTTTGTATTTTTCCTAATGTTATCCCTCCCCAATCCCCCAACCCCCTGCTATCCCTCCCCTAGCCCCTCCCACCCCCCAAAAGGCTCTGATGTGTGATGTTCCATCCCCTGTGTCCATGTGTTCTCATTGTTCAACACCCATTTATGAGTGAGAACATGCAGTGTTTGGTTTCCTGTTCTTGTGTCAGTTTACTGAGAATGATGGTTTCCATCTTCATCCATGTCCCCGCAAAGGACATGAATGCATTCTTTTTTATAGCTGCATAGTATTCCATGGTGTATATGTACCACATTTTCTTTATCCAATCTATCACATTTGGGTTGGATGGACATTTGGGTTGGTTCCAGGTCTTTGCTATTGTAAATAGTGCCACGATGAACATGTGTGTGCATGTGTCTTTATAATAGAATGATTTATAGTCCTTTGGGTATATACCCAGTAATGGGATTGCTGGGTCAAATGGTATTTCTATTTCTAGGTCCTCGAGGAATCTCCACACTGGTTGAACTAATTTACACTCCCACCAACAGTGTAAAAGCGTTCCTATTTCTCTACATCCTCTCCAGCATCTGTTGTTTCCTGATTTTTTTAATGATCACCATTCTAACCGGCGTGAAATACTACCTCAATGTGGTTTTGATTTGCATTTCCCTAATGACCAGTGATGATTAGCATTTTTTCATATGTTTGTTGTCTGCACAAATAACTTCTTATGAAAAGTATCTGTTCATATCCTTTGCCCACTTTTTGATGGGGCTGTTTTTTTCTTGTAAATTTGTTTACATTCTTTGTAAATTCTGGATATTAGCCCTTTGTCAGATGGGTAGATAGCAAAATGTTTCCCCATTCTGTTGGTTGCCAGTTCACTCTGATAGTTTCTTTTGCTGTGCAGAAGCCCTTAAGTTTAATTAGATCCTATTTGTCTATTTTGGCTTTTGTTGCCATTGTTTTTGGTGTTTCAGTCTTGGAGTCCTTGCCTGTGCCTATGTCCTGAATTGTATTGCCTAGGTTTTCAATGATACACTCTAATCTTAAAGGTCATGGGAATCCTTTGAGAATTTTTAGACAGGGGAAGTCATGTTGAAGGTAGTTTTAGAAAAGGTCTCCAAGACTGCAGTGCAGAAAATGAATTGATACAATCCAGAATTTCTTAGGAACCCTCTATGTAATTGAAACAATTAAAAATGTATGCATAGTAATAACTGTTCTAATGAGAGCATATGAACACAGGGATGGGAACAACACACACTGGGGCCTGTTGGGGGTGTGGGAGGGGAAGCATCAGGATAAATAGCTAATGCATATAGGCATTAATACCTAGGCGATGGATTGGCAGATGCGTGAAACCACCATGGCATACGTTTATCTATGTAACAAACCTGCATGTCCTGCACATGTATTCCGGAACTTAAAATTAAATGAAATTAAATTTTAAAAAATAATGAGTGTTATTTGAAGAACAGTCATTTGAGGAATACTATTCTTTATATCTTTTTATTCGAAAAGACCACCTCTCATCTGGAATTTAACAATGGCTGGCAAAGTCAGGTCTTCTAGTGGTTGCTGTGCCATGATTGATGCCTTGGAATACTCTCTACATTAACTTTTTGGGGCAATAACTTGACTGAAACACCTTTTTCCACAGCCTAGTCCTCAGTTCCACAGGTGCAAGTTTTCCGTTTTGTTATTGAACCAAGAAGTGCTGACTCTCAGTAACACGTGCCTCAATAATTTTTCTAGTTTTCTTACATACCAAAATATAAGGAAAAATAGGAGATGCAGATTAAAATTTGCACTTTCTGAAATAAAACATATATATACATTTTAAGTTCGGTACATGTGCAGGATGTGCAGGTTTGTTACATAGGTAAATGTGTGCCATGGTGGTTTGCTGCACCTGTCATCCCATTGTCTAGGTATTAAGCCCAGAATGCATTAGCTAAATTTTCTGATGCTCTTTCTCTCCCCACATCCCCGACAGGCCCCAGTTGTTTCTCTCCCTGTGTCTATGTTAAAACATATACCTTTTAATATGACTGCTAAAAATGATCATTTCAGGGTCTTTAATATTGTGAAGCATTCTTCACCTCCATCAGAGAGCAAGGAAGTATGAGCCATGAGAACCTGAGCAGCGTGTCCGAGTTCCTCCTCTTGGGTCTCCCCATCCGGCCAGAGCAGCAGGCCGTGTTCTTCACCCTGTTCCTGGGCATGTACCTGACCACAGTGCTGGGGAACCTGCTCATCATCCTGCTCATCCGGCTGGACTCTCGCCTCCACACCCCCATGTACTTCTTCCTCAGCCACTTGGCTCTCACTGACATCTCCTTTTCATCTGTCACTGTCCCTAAGATGCTGATGGACATGCAGACAAAGTACAAATCGATCCCCTGTGAGGAGTGCATTTTTCAGACGTATTTTTTTGTATTTTTTACTGACCTGGACAGCTTCCTTATTACATCAATGGCGTATGACCGATATGTTGCCATATGTCACCTTCTCCACTACACTGCCATCATGAGGGAAGGGCTCTGTGCCTTCTTAGTGGTTATATCTTGGATTCTGTCTTGTGCCAGCTCCCTCTCTCACACCCTTCTGCTGACCCAGCTGTCTTTCTGTGATGCAAACACCATCCCCCACTTCTTCTGTGACCTTGCTGCCCTGCTCAAGCTGTCCTGCTCAGATATCTTCCTCAATGAGCTGGTCATGTTCACAGTAGGAGTGGTGGTCATTACCCTGCCATTCATGTGTATCCTGGTATCATATGGCTACATTGGGGCCACTATCCTGAGGGTCCCTTCAACCGAAGGGATCCGCAAAGCGTTGTCCATGTGTGGCTCCCATCTCTCTGTGGTGTCTCTGTATTATGGCTCAATATTTGGCCAGTACCTTTTCCCGACCGTAAGCAGTTCCATTGACAAGGATGTCATTGTGGCTCTAATGTACAAGGTGGTCACACCCATGTTGAACCCCTTTATCTACAGCCTTAGGAACAGGAACATGAAAGAGGCCCTTGGGAAACTCTTCAGTAGAGCAAAGTTTTTCTCTTGGTGACATCTGACATTTTAAGCAATTCAAATCTCATTTTGGTTTATCTCATGTATTTGATTTTCCATTTGAATATGTCTCAAAAACTTTTATATCTTGAAGCCCTAAGACAAATGTTAACATGTTGAATGTAACTGGTAAATATTTGTTGACCAGAATTCCATTCTCTTATTAACAATGTTATTCTTTATAAATAGTTTTTGATCAGTGAATGCTAAATTAATTTTATTTTTCTTTCTGCAACTTGGAGAAAAGACATAACAATACAGCAGTATATAGTTTTGATATCCCTTATTTGAGGAGATTTTTGGAAACATATATGTTTTTGGCCCATAATCCTAGGCTTTAACACAACATAGAATTGAAAGAATTGGTGATATTATTTTACTACCCTCTATAAGGTAGACTGAGTGTGATCATTAGTGAAGTGATCAGACAACTCACAAAAGAGACAGTTTCAAGGCATTTCATAGTCTTTAATAAAATTTCACTGTGAATCTCTGTGTTAATTCAGTAGAAGATGGGCTAAAAATAAAAAATCTTCAGTAGATATGTATGTATTGATATGCATGAGAAATAGAAATGCAAACATAGTCACAACACATTATTACAGAAAAAGAAAGTGATGAAGCACTATAAAATACATTCCATTATGTAAACAGATATGTTTATGAATAAAAGTCATTTATTTCATTTTATTATTTGTTTACTTTTGAGTTGGAAGTTTGCTCTTTTGTGCAGGCTGGAGTGCAATGGCATGGTCATGGCTCACTGCAACCTCTGCCTCCCAGGTTCAAGTGATTCTCCTACCTCAGCCTCCCGAGTAGATGGGATTACAGGCATGCACCACCACACCCATCTAATTTTGTATTTTTAGTAGAGACAGCATTGGTCAGGCTGTTCTTGAACTCCTGACCCCAGGTGATCCGCCTGCCTTGGCCTCCTAAAGTGCTGGGATTAGAGGTGTGAGCCACTGCATCCAGCCATTTTATTTTATTTTGAAAATTTCAGCTATTGTTTTACATTCATAGGGTGTATATCCAGGTTTGTAACATGGGTATGTTATATGATGCTGAGGTTTGAGTTAAAAATGATTTCATCACCCAGATAGTGAGCAGAGAACCCAATAGTTTTTCAACCTTTCTCTAGCTGTGTCCAATGTCTATTACTCTCATCTTTATGTTTAGCTCCCAATTAGAAGTGAGAACATGCACTATTTGTTTTTCTGTTTCTGTGTTAGTTTGCTTAGGATCATGGCCTCCAATTGCATCCATGTTGCTAAAAAAAACATGATTTCATTCTTTTTGATGGCTTCATAGTATTCCATGGTGTACTACATGTTTTTAACCCAGTCCACTGTTGATAAACACCTAAGTTGATTCCATGTGTTTGCTATTGTGAATAGTGAAAAAACCCTCTTAGAAGGATAAAAAATGAATCATGAAAGCGTTTGAGATACTTTGACTTTCTCCTTCATTTCCGTGTTTATATTATTTGTATTTCCATCATGAAGAGGAATTAATTTTATAAGCAGCAAACAGAAAAAGAATTTTCATTTCAGAGAAAAATTTCTATAGACATCTCAACCTAACACCTAACTAGGGGAAACCTGAATCCAGCATGGGAGGTCTTTCCCCATCTCCTTTTGGACTTAAATTCACAGGGCCTGACAATCTTCCTAAGAACAGAGATTCCTTAAAGTCTGCCCTTAGAGCCACTTGCTTCGGAATTATCTTGCTCTAGATCTCATGAATAAATATCTTTGCAGGTGGAGCTGGGACCTGAATCTTTAACAAACTCCCCAGGTGATTTTGATGAATATCCAAGTTTAGAGACCACTGCCCTAGGGCATCTGTCCTGGAGGGAGTAGGAGGAAAACCGAAGAATTAATGCATGTTTAATGCAAGTCTCTAACCACAAGCTTGGTGCTCTGTCCCCTCGAGTCCTCTCCCTAGTGGGTAGAATAGAGTTGTTACCTCTCCATTTCTGAAGCTTGCAAATTGAGAAGAGTAAGCTCCAGGTTCCTGACTTTTTTCTCCGACGTCAGTGAGGTTTAGGACCACATATTTCAGAGGCTAACTCTGGTCTCTTGGTCTCCTAGAAGGAAGCTGACAAACCAGTCCATACTCCCAGGAATGACTTGAGCATAAAGTTCAGAGCAGGACTGGATATTCTTCGTCAGTATCGGGGTGTGTGTGTGCGCACACGGACTTGTGTACAGGTGCTCAGCATTTCTCTATGCTCTTGCTGAAGTCATTTTTTATTTCGGGTTCCTAAAGACAGGGATGCAACAATCACCACTGGCCAGTGACTCTCATGTCTTTAACCCCATTTGTGGGGAGCTGAGGGATAGTGCCAGCTGGCTACATAAATTGGTGGGCATATCCTCAAAACCCAAGGTAGGGGGTCTCATCTCAGCATTTGTGTTCTAGATATTAGAATGTGTTCTTACTTATTTAGTGCATGCAGTGTTAGAGAGCCCTCTCTAATATTTCTTTCCAAAGTCCCTGATCATTCCCTTCCGTTTAGGCAGCACAGCTGCTTTCACCTGAAAGTATCTTTGAAGGACACATTTAGCTAGAGAGCCTTGGGTCCTTTCTTCCTTTATGTAGCATCCATATTGCAGATCCTTATTAGACTCTGCTTGATAATTTCCTTCCTGTAATCCCTAGTGTATTCTTAAACCTTCATCAAATGCAGCAAACTTTGAGCCCAGGAAACATCTACTACCCCAATTACTTTTGCCTGGTTTGCACTGAAGGTAAGACACTTATGCTTTTTATTAATTTTCTTGTACAAGTTACTAACTACAATTCAGTATACAATGTTGAAAATAGCTGGTATATTTTTCACATTCCAGGTTTTAACGGCAATGCTTTAAAATACCACCACTAAGTATGGTGTTTGCTGTCTCATTTAGTTTAGTGAGTATCTTAGTCGGTTGGGCTGCTATAGCTGGGTGACTTTAAAGAGCAGACATTTATTTGTCACAGTTCTGGAGCCTGGGAAGTCTAAGATCAAGGTACCAGCAGATTCAGTTTCTGGTGTGGGTCCACTTTCTGGTTAGCAGAGGGCTACCTTCCTGCTGTGTCCTCACATGGCAATGCCTGAGACAGGTTTCTTCCTATGAGGGAAATAATCCCATTGATGAGGCTCTACCCTCATGACCTAATTAGGTTTCACCTTTAAATATTTTTTGTAGCATTTACTTTTTTATGGCAGTGATATTGTAATCAATGGATATGTTTTTTTTCTCATCAACTTTATACATAATGAAAACTTTGGCTGCTTGTCTTTGATGGAATTTCCTTTGAGTATATGTTATTGAAACTTCATCCCTGTATGTTGCTTACTAATGAATTTTGAAGTCGAATTTTAAAAGTTCATCATGTTACAATTTGAAGGCTCAAGACTCGCCTGATGATTGTTTTTAAAAGTACAGACACAGAATAGAAATTGGAAAGATGTTATCTTACTATCCATCTGCTAATAGAGTCTGAGGCTCCCTCTTTACTGACTAGACATAGCTGGTCTCCTTTTCTATATCAGACTCTTTACTCTGTTGGCAAATTCTCTTATTTTGCATGATAAAACCATCTACTCTAAACCTTTTTTTTTTTTTTTTTTTGTAGGGACATAGCAATGTAGACTGACATTGGCATATTCATTAGTAGAAAGGTTCTTATCCTTACCTGCCTGCTGTAAACCAATGTTTGTTTCTGCTTTCCTAGCTCCCTCTATTTGCAGCAGAGAGAAGACTAGCAGCATGAAGAGGGGGAACCAGAGCACCATATCTGAGTTCCTCCTCCTGGGTCTCCCCGTCCGGCCAGAGCAGCAGACCATGTTCTTTGCCCTGTTCCTGGGCATGTACCTGATCACGGTGCTCGGGAACCTGCTCATCATCCTGCTCATCCAGCTGGACTCTCACCTCCACACCCCCATGTACTTCTTTCTTAGCCACTTGGCTCTCACTGACATCTCCCTTTCATCTGTCACTGTCCCAAAGATGTTAATGAGCATGCACACTCAGGAGCAATCCATTCCTTATGCAGGGTGTGTAACTCAGATGTATTTTTTCATATTTTTCACTGATCTGGACAATTTCCTTCTCACCTCAATGGCATATGATCGGTACATGGCCATCTGTCACCCCCTCCGCTACACCACTGTCATGAAAGAGGGACTGTGTACCTTACTAGTAGCTGTGTGCTGGATCCTCTCCTGTACCAATGCCCTGACTCACACTCTCCCCCTGGCCCAGCTGTCCTTTTGTGCTGACAACACCATCCCCCATTTCTTCTGTGACCTTGCTGCCCTACTCAAGCTCTCATGCTCAGACATCTCCCTCAATGAGCTGCTCATTTTCACAGTGGGATTGGCAGTCATTACTCTACCACTAATATGCATCTTGATCTCTTACGGCCACATTGGGGTCACCATCCTAAAGGCTCAGTCTACCAAGGGGATCTTGAAAGCCTTGTCCACCTGCGGCTCCCACCTCTCTGTGGTGTCTCTGTATTATGGCACAATTATTGGACTGTATTTTGTCCCCTCGTCCAGCGCCTCCAGCGATAAGGACATAATTGCCTCTGTGACGTACACGGTGGTCACCCCATTGCTGAATCCCTTCATTTATAGCCTAAGGAACAGGGACATAAAGGGAGCCCTGGAGAGACTCTTCAACAGGGCAATAGTCTTATCTCAATGACATTTGTTGTTCTTTATAGCAGACACATGTATCGACCTATCTCCAGATGATAGATCCTTAATCCTGATCCCAGCAAGGGATAAGTGCTCAGTAACTCTTTGATGACTTGAATTGCATTCTGTTACAGTTATTCTCTCATTTCCTCTTTAGTATAAATGGTGAATTCTGAGGTTATATAATTAGTTATTTATCTTGCCTATTAGATTCAGAAATTACATAGCTAACAGAACTTAAATCTTTCATTTCCTGGCAATTCATTTGTTCTTATGAATTGTTTAAATATGTTGACTAACAGGTTTCCCTTGGCAGAGAAAGGTTGAAGGATTGGGTATTTGTAAAGTTGTTTTCCTTACTTTCTTCCCATTCAGTTCTCTTCTTACATTTTTGATTGTTGGTGGTGATGGTGGTAGGTCAGGAGAAGAAACTGTATAGTACCCTTTACAGATCCAAAAAGCTATTCCCTGTCATAAGTTCAGCTCCTCCACTTCAGGGCTTGAGGTTCCTCCTTGATTTCAGGAACACTGACCACTCGTCTAGACTACAATAACTTTCATCAACAGTTCACTTTTAGACCAGTTGTCTATGAAGCTTTCTGACTACACATGTGAGTTTCAATCACAACACAGAATCACTCCAGCTAAGGGATGAAAAGAACAAAAAGTGTTCACAGTCAGTAGCCTTATGTCACCCTCACTGAATTTGGTCCCTATCCCATTCAGTCCCTTCATTGTCTTTCTCAGTGGGAAGCATTTCTGCCTAGCTTAGTGACCCCTGGTTTGTATTATTTGTCCAAGTAATCTTCTATCATTTTCTTCTATCTTCTATGTTCTTCGCCGTCCAGTGAAGGGGCACACAGGTTTCTTTTTTCATTCCCGTACTTAGTTAAAGATAAACAGAATTACAAATGCTTCTGAGAATCAATATTATGTAGCTGCAAGAGAAGAATATTTGGAAAGATAGATGTCATTTACAATCTATATATACCAGGGTGGTGGCCGTGTGGCCTCTGACAATTCACTTAACTACTCTCAACCTGAATTTATTCTTCTGCATAGGTGAAAAAGTTTCTAAAACACCTAACATATTTTTTATTTGAAGGTAATGCAATAATAAATTGGGCTTAACACTACAGCAGACCAAGAACAATGAATGTTAGTTTTCTTTACCTTCTCTGTCAGAGCTGAGTTTTGAAGCGGAACTTGTGAAGACACTCCTGAATTATGGTGACTAAGGGCACCTGGCATGTTGGTCATATTTCTGATTCAAAAGCAATAAACTGCCCTAGGACACAGCAACACATCTGTTCTGGCTTGAGCTAGAACCAAATAGCTAAAGGGTAATGAATGAGTGAGCTGACATGTGGGTAGGTTAGGAAAGACAGTTCAGAAGAATAATTTACTCTTCACTTGTTTTGATATTGACTCACAGAGTGACCCTTCATCAGCGGCTTATGTAGCTGCCATTTGGCATTCCAGGTTCCTTTGTAGAACAACAGAGAGTGCCACCCCCACCCCTTGCTGCAAGCACAGAGTCACTTCGTTTACAGGCTTAGCCCTGACCTTTTCCAGAGCCAAAACCTGAACAGGGATAGAATCTTTATTGTTGGTCTGGATAAAGCATGTCTTGGTAGCCTCAGCATACTTGTGAACCACTGTACACTCTCATCCCTGCTAGGGTTATGTGATCTGTGGAACTGAGTGCCTGCGTCAGTTTCCTTGCCGGCACCCCAGTTCTGTTATTCAGATCCCTGAAGATCTTCCCAGTCTTGTCAGGCCCATCCTCCAGAGAGGCCAACATTGTCATTTATGTTCTTAGCCACAGTCTGGTGACATTCCTCTGAATGGCTTTTCCTCAAGAAATGGCAAGCTCACTTGTCTGTTGGGAAGTGTTTCATCTCTGTCTGTCCTACTAGTGTGCCCCATCTCCCAGATCATTTTGCTTTGGTTTTGGACAGCCCAAAGCACACTGATGTGCACCATGTTGATCTGAATATGCAAATAGAACTGGAACTTAAAGTACAATAAATAAAACCCTAAGTTAAAAAAAAGAAATCCTTGTGCATTTTGAAGTAGTTTGATATTCGATATATGTGTGGAATATTGCAATAGCAACTTTTCTGTTATTCAGCTAATTTCATTCCATAACCTCTTATCTAGGCTTTGGGTGGGTTAAAAAAATCTGGCATCATTGCTGTCTTACTGCACAGTTAAATCTGAACTTCCATTGTTTATGTATTTTCACAAGCATTTATTTTTAAATTTTACTTTAAGTTCTGGGATACATGTGCAGAATGTGCAGGTTTGTTACATAGGTATACATGTACCATGGTGGTTTGATGCACGTATCAACCCATTATTTGGTTTGAAGCCCCTCATGTATTAGATATTTGTCCTAATGCTCTCTCTCCCTTTCCCTTCACCCCCTGATGGGCCCCAGTGTGTGACGTTTCCCTCCCTGTGTCCATGTGTTCTCATCTTTCAACTCTCACTTATGATTCACAAGCATTTTCACAGTTGTTTCTCCTCTTTTCAAAAGGGCAAGCTGCAGACACTGAGGAATTAAGAGAGTGGAGCACAATAAAACTAATGTTTTTGAAGATATTAAAAGCATTGTTCAGACAACTCACAAAAGAGTTTCATGGCATTTCATAGTATTTAATAAAATTTCACAGTGAATCTTTATGTTAATTCAGCAGGATATGAACTAAAAATCTCAAGTGGATATGTATGTACAGTATTGATATGCATAGAAGTAGAAATGCAGACATGGTCACAATAAATTATTACAGAAAAAGAAAGCAATAAAGTACTATGTAATAAAGCCCATTATGTAAACAGGTATACCAAGACCAGCTAGGCCATAGAGACCCCCACCCAGGTGGTGCAGAAGGAATTGAGAAGCAGACACCCAGATAGAACAGCAAAGTGGGACTATCTGGGGGACCAATAGCCTTCCAATGGAGAGCCTTAGGTGCTAACAGCATTCTGGGATGAAGGCCTTGAGCAGACTCTGATCCACGTAGTTCGTCCCTCTGAACAGGTGATGATTGTTAACAAACAGGTGTTCAGTATTTTCTCATAACACAAAAATAAACCAGGTAGGCAGCTGGTGCCTGCTTACCATTGATCATAGACAAACTAAAAAGTATTCTCCACTAGGGAGCCATAGGGGCAGGCTCACATATCCTGTGCTTAAATGATTGTTTTAATTGTTTTAAAGAATGGTATAATATTTATGTACTGTCTTGTCACTTTAGAATGCCCCAAGTAGTTTTCCACTGGGTGGGGGGTGGCTGGGTTTTCCTTGCCGTAGTTCTTCCTAGCAAATGATATATTCTATCATACACTCAGCATTTCTCAACACAGATATGTTTATGAATAAAAGTCATTTTATTTTATTTCATTTTAATTTTTATTTACTTTTTTTTTTTGAGACAGAGTTTCACTCTTGTTACTCAGGCTGGAGTGCAATGCAGCGATCTCAAATCATTGCAACCTCTGCTTCATGGTTCAAGCGTTTCTCCTGCCTCAGCCTCCTGAGTAGCTGGGATTACAGGCATGTGCCACTATGCCTGGCCAATTTTGTACTTTTAGTAGAGACGGGGGTTTCTCCATGTTGGTCAGGCTGGTCTTGAACTCCTGACCTCAGGAGATCAGCCCGCCTCGGCCTCCCAAAGTGCTAGGATTACAGGCATGAGCCACTGTGCCTGGCCATTTTATTTTAATTTTTTAAAATTTCAACTTTTGTTTGATATCGTAGGGTGCATGCCTACGATACATTTTGTTACATGGGTATATTGTGTGCTAAGGTTTGGGGTACAAATGATCTCATGACCCAGATAGTGAGCAGAGTACCCAATAGTTAGTTTTTCAACCTTTCTCTAGTAATCTCCAGTGTCTATTTCTCCCATCTTTACATCCACATGTACCTAATATTTAGCTCCCACTTAGAAATGAGAACATGAGTATTTGATTTTCTGTTTCTGTGTTCATTTGCTTAGGATAATGGCCTCCAGTTGCATCTATGTTGCTGCAAAGGACATGATTTAGTTCTTTTTGGTGGCTTCATAATATTCCATGGCGTACTACATTTTCTTTATCCAGTCCACCATTGACAAACACTTAAGTTGATTCCTTATGTTTGCTTTTGTGAATAGTGGAAAAGCCCTCTTAGAAGGATAAAAAATGAATCATGAAAGTGTTTGATACTTTGATTTTCTCCTTCCTTTTCATGTCTATATTATTTGTATTTCCATCATGAAGAGGAATTAATTTTATAAGCAGCAAGCAAAAAAAGAATTTTCATTTGAGAGAAAACTCTCTATATACTTCCCAACCTAATTAGGGGAAACCTGAATCTGGTAGAGGAGGTCTTTCCCCATCTCCTTTTGGACTTAAATTCACAGGGCCTGACACTCTTCCTAAGGACAGAGATTCCTTAAAGTCGGCCCTTAGAGCTGCTTGCCTCAGAATTATTTGTCCCCAGATCTCATGAATTAATATCTCTGCAGGTGGAGCTGGGAACTACATCTTTAACAAGCTCCCCAGTTGTTTTTGATGAATACCCAAGTTTAGAGACCACTGCCCTAGGGCATCTGTCCTTGGAATAGGAGGAAATCTGAGCAATTAATGCATGTTTAATGCAAGTCTCTAACCACAAGCTTGGTGCCCTGTCCCCTCGAGTCCTCTCCCTAGTGGATAGAATAGAGTTGTTGCCTTTCCATTTCTGAAGGCTGTAAATTGAGAAGAGTATGCTCCAGGTTCATGAATTTTTTTCTCTGATGTCAGTGACGTTTATGACCACAGAATTCGGAGGCTAACTCTGGTATCTTGGTCTCCTAGAAAGAAGCTGAGAAAACAGTCCATACTCCCAGGAATGACTTGAACATAAAGTTCAGAGCAGGACTGGGTATCCTTCATCAGTAGCGGGTGTGTGTGTGTACAGGTGCTCAGCATTTCTGTATGCTTTTGCTGGGAAGTCATTTTTTTATTCTCAGTTTCCAAAGACAAGGATGCAACAATCACCACTGGCCAGTGACTCTCATGTCTTTAACTGCAGTTTGTGGGGAGCTGTGGGATAGGGCCAGCTGGCTACATAAATTGGTGGGCATATCCTAAAAATCCAAGCTAAAGGGTCTCATCTCAACATTCGTGTTCTAGATATTAGAGTGTGTGCTTATTTATTTAGTGCATGCAGTGTTAGAGAGCCCTCTCTAATATTTCTTTCCAAAGTCCCTGATCATTCCCTTCCCTCTAGACAGCACAGCTACTTTCACCTGAAAGTATGTTTGACGGACACGTTTGGCTAGAGAGCTTTGGGTCCTTTCTTCCTTTATGTAGCATCCATATTGCAGATCCTTATTAGACTCTGCTTGATAATTTCCTTCCTGTAATCCCTAGTGTATTCTTAAAACTTCATCAAAGGCAACAAACTTTGAGCCCAGGAAACATCTACTACCACAATTACTTTTGCCTGGTTTGCACTGAAGATAAGACACTGAGTTTCTTCCCTAGAGGTCTTTGCACTTTATTTTAATGGAAACAATGTCATCTCATATATGACACCTTCTATGGATGGGGTGTTTCTATAGAGCTTACCTTATTTAATTTTTACTATAATTCAGGGATTATCATCCCCATTCTGAGAGAAAAAGCTGAGGCTCCTAAGCTGTGCACCACCTTGCCCAAAGACATACAACTGACAAACGGCAGAGAGGTGATTTGAATCCCTTCTGTCCAACTTCAGAACCCATGCTTTATCTTCTATAAATACAACATCACTCTAAAGGAAATATCAGTTATCAGCAAGCAGTAGTTTGAGGCTTTAGTGTTCAGGAGGCTGAATGTGGTGGAGTGAGAGAGTCTGTACTTGGCCTTTACGTTGAATTTATGCAGATAGAAATAGGCAGGGTGAATTGAATCCAGGGGACTTTATTAATATTCTAAATATCATGGATTAAATAGATTTCCAATTTCAGGAAGGAGTCAGAGTCATCTAATTGATATATCATGAGAGAAACCAGAAGAGAAGAAGAAGGAGAGGGAGAAGTCCAGAATAGTGAGATACCTGAGCCATCATTCTCTAGGGTGTGGTGGGACGCTGCCTTTCTGCCCAGCTTCATTGCTGCTGTTTCTGGCCTTTGCCTGCATCAGGTCATGGTCTCATGATGAAGTGACCTCGTGGCACCTGAACTCTGCCAGTAGGCAATCAGGAGGGAGAAATAAAGGAGACTCAGGAAATGGCAGGTGAGAAACTAATATGAGTTGGTGCAGGTTATATGCAGTCACTCTTCACAAATGTTATCTTATTAATATTCACAATATTCTCATGACTTAGGCTTGTAGTCATATCTCCAGATTAGAGATGGAGATTCAGGCCAACTGGGTCACTTCCCTAGAACTCACAAATATGAAGTTGATGTTGCCAGGACTTGAATCTAGGGCTATGTGCAATGCTTTTATCAGTACCACATACTACCCTCAGACACTAGTTTCTATCCTTAAGGTCACAGCCCCAAAGACCCTCAAAATGCTGGAGTGAGCAGGTACAGACTGGGAACCTGGGCTAGGCATTCTTGCCCATCTTCTTTACAGGTCCATTTAGAACTCTATTATGTTGGCTGCTTTTTGGTATGATTAAAAGGAAGGCTGGTGTTCCTATATAAAATAGGAGTATGCTCAACTCACCAGCTTAAAGAAGCAAAAAAATTTAAGCCTATCATTAGCCTATATAAAGCTCTTATGAAATTTTCTCCCAATTAAGAACGGGTATAATGAAATCCTAACATTTTCTATTTACTTAGTATATGTAGATGTACATATGTTAGGCATTTGGCATTGATTTTTGACTTAAAGGGAAATTTTCAATGAAGATACAGTGGGACCCTACTTGTCTTGCAGGATTTGGTATATTAAGCCTTAGAATTTTTTTTTTTTTTTTTAAGATTGTTTTTTTTTTTTTTTTTTTTTTTAAGTTTCAGGGTACATGTACAGGATGTGCATGTTTGTTACACAGGCAAACGTGAGCCATGGTGGTTTGCCACATCTATCAACCCCATCTCCTAGGTATTGAGCCTGGCATGCATTAGCTCTTTTTCCTGATGCTCTCATCACCCCAAACTTCCCTCAACAGGTCCCAGTGTGCGATGTTCCCCTCCCTGTGTTCCTGTGGTTCTCATTGTTCAGCTCTCATTTATAAGTGAGAACATGTGGTATTTGGTTTTCTGTTCCTGCATTAGTTTGCTGAGGATAATGGCTTCCAGCTCCATCCACATCCCTGCAAAGGACATGAACTCATTCCTTTTTATGTATGTTCATTGCAGCACTATTCACAATCACAAAGACATGGAATCAACTCAAATGTCCATCAATGATAGACTGGATAAAGAAAATGTGGTACATGTACACCATGGCTTTAGAATATTTTAATGGATAGATAGTGTCTGTTGAGGAAGGACACAAATAGATTTTGTAAAACAGTTGATACTGATGATCAGGGGAACCTGGATGTATCTAGAAATTTCATGGGGCTGGATAGCAGGTGCTGTAGTTCAAGATGTCAGGAGCCCAAAGGAGGAAGCTACAAAAGCAGAAGGGACATATCAATGGCCCATTTCTTCGGCCTCTGTTGATAAGAACTCTTACTATTATAGATTGTAGATTTTCATGGTGTCACAAGAGTTTTTGAATCAGGAGGAGATTAGAAAATGATCTCAAAGAGCCCAATAATATGATTACTGATAATAAATATATGTTTCCAAATTTTTTGAGAATTCTCGTTTTCCGATGCTTTTAATTAATTTTCTTGTACAGTTTGCTAACTACAATTCAGTATACAATGTTGAATAGAAAATAGCTGGCATAGTTTTCTCATTCCTGATTTTAATGGCAGTGCTTTAAAATACCACCACTCAGTATGGTGTTTGCTGTCTCATTTAGTTTAGTGAGTGTCTTAGTCGGTTGGGCTGCTATAGCTGGGTGACTTTAACGAGCAGACATTTGTTTGTCACAGTTCTGGAGCGTGGGAAGTCCAAGATCAAGGTACCAGCAGATTTGGTTTCTGGTGTGGGTCCACTTTCTGGTTAGCAGATGGCTACCTTCCTGCTGTGTCCTCACATGGCAATGCCTGAGACACGTAATTATTCTTGTATTTCTTCTTATAAGGCCACTAATCTCATTTATGAGGCTCTACCCTCATGACCTAATTACCTCCCTAAATCTCACCTTTATATATTTTTTGTAAAATTTACTTTTTTATGGCAGTGATATTGTAATAATGGACATGTTTTTTTTTTTTTTTTTGCCATTTTACGTTTTTGGCACATATTTACTTTGTTCCTCAGTGGTTGATTTTGTTTTTCCCTTCTTTTTCTTTAACTTTTTTTTTTCCTTTTCTCATCAACTTTGTGAAAACTTTGGCTGTTTATCTTTGACTCAATTTCCTTTGTCTATATGCTATTTAAACTTCATCCCTATATGTTGCTTATTAACGGATTTTAAAGTGAAATTTAAAAGTTCAATATGTTACAACTTGAAGGCTCAGGACTAGCCTGATGATTGTTTTTAAAAGTACAGACACAGAATAGAAATTGGAAAGATGTTATCTTACTCTCCATCTGCTAACACAGCGTGAGGCTTCCTCTTTACTGACTACAGATAGCTCATCTTCTCTTCCATATCACACCCTCTACTCTGTTGGCAAATTCTCGATTTGCATGATAAAACCATCTACTTAAATTGATTTTTTGTAGGGACTAGCAATGTAGACAGACATTGGCACAGTCGTCATTAGAAAGAATCTTATTCTTACCTGCCTACTGTATATCAACATTTCTTTGTTCCTGCTTTCCTATCTCCCTCTATTCCCAGCAGAGAGAAGACTAGCAGCATGAAGAGGGGGAACCAGAGCACCATATCTGAGTTCCTCCTCCTGGGTCTCCCCATCCGGCCAGAGCAGCAGGCCGTGTTCTTTGCCCTGTTCCTGGGCATGTACCTGACCACAGTGCTGGGGAACCTGCTCATCATCCTGCTCATCCGGCTGGACTCTCACCTCCACACCCCCATGTACTTCTTTCTTAGCCACTTGGCTCTCACTGACATCTCCTTTTCATCTGTCACTGTCCCAAAGATGTTAATGAGCATGCACACTCAAGATCAATCCATTCCTTATGCAGAATGTGTAACTCAGATGTATTTTTTCATATTTTTCACTGTTATGGACAGTTTACTTCTCACTTCAATGGCATATGATCGGTATGTAGCCATCTGTCACCCCCTCCTCTACACCACTGTCATGAAAGAGGGACTGTGTACCTTACTAGTAGCTGTGTGCTGGATCCTCTCCTGTACCAATGCCCTGACTCACACTCTCTCCCTGGCCCAGCTGTCCTTTTGTGCTGACAACACCATCCCCCATTTCTTCTGTGACCTTGCTGCCCTACTCAAGCTCTCATGCTCAGACATCTCCCTCAATGAGCTGCTCATTTTCACAGTGGGACTGGCAGTCATTACTCTACCACTAATATGCATCTTGATCTCTTACGGCCACATTGGGGTCACCATCCTAAAGGCTCCGTCTACCAAGGGGATCTTGAAAGCCTTGTCCACCTGCGGCTCCCACCTCTCTGTGGTGTCTCTGTATTATGGCACAATTATTGGACTGTATTTTGTCCCCTCGTCCAGCGCCTCCAGCGATAAGGACATAATTGCCTCTGTGACGTACACGGTGGTCACCCCATTGCTGAATCCCTTCATTTATAGCCTAAGGAACAGGGACATAAAGGGAGCCCTGGAGAGACTCTTCAACAGGGCAATAGTCTTATCTCAATGACATTTGTTGTTCTTTATAGCAGACACATGTATCGACCTATCTCCAGATGATAGATCCTTAATCCTGATCCCAGCAAGGGATAAGTGCTCAGTAACTCTTTGATGACTTGAATTGCATTCTGTTACAGTTATTCTCTCTTTTCCTCTTTAGTATAAATGGTGAATTCTGAGGTTATATAATTAGTTATTTATCTTGCCTATTAGATTCAGAAATTACATAGCTAACAGAACTTAAATCTTTCATTTCCTGGAAATTTTTTTGTTCTTATGAATTGTTTAAATATGTTGACTAACAGGTTTCCCTTGGCAGAGAAAGGTTGAAGGATTGGGTATTTGTAAAGTTGTTTTCCTTACTTTCTTCCCATTCAGTTCTCTTCTTACATTTTTGATTGTTGGTGGTGATGGTGGTAGGTCAGGAGAAGAAACTGTATAGTACCCTTTACAGATCCAAAAAGCTATTCCCTGTCATAAGTTCAGCTCCTCCACTTCAGGGCTTGAGGTTCCTCCTTGATTTCAGGAACACTGACCACTCGTCTAGACTACAATAACTTTCATCAACAGTTCACTTTTAGACCAGTCTATGTAGCTTTCTGACTACACATGTGAGTTTCAATCACGACACAGACTCACTCCAGGTAAGGGATGAGAAGATCCAAACAGTATTCACAGTCAGTAGCCTTGTGTCACCCTCACTGAATTTGGTCCCTTTCCCATTCAGTCCCTTTATTGTCGTTCTCAGTGAAAAGCACTTATACCAGCTTAGTGACCCCTGGTTTGTATTATTTGCCCAAGTAATCTTTCATCATTTGCTTCTATCTTCTATGTTCTTCGCCATCCAGTGAAGGGGCACACAGGTTTCTTTTTTCATTCCCGTACTTAGTTAAAGATAAACAGAGTTACAAATGCTTCTGAGAATCAATATTATGCAGCTGCAAGAGAAGAATATTTGGAAAGATAGATGTCATTTGTAATCTGTATATACAAGGGTGGTGGCTGTGTGGCCTCAGACAATTCACCCAATTCCTCTGAGCCTCAATTTCTTCTTTGGTATAGGTGAAATATTTCTAAAACACCGAACATATTTTTTATTTGAAGTAAATGCAATAATAAATTGAGCTTAACACTACAGCTAACCAAGAACAATGAATGTTAGTTTTCTTTCCCTTCTCTGTCAGAGCTGAGTTTTGAAGCAGAACTTGTGTAGACACTTCTGAATTATGGTGACTATGGGCAGCTGGCATATTGGTTATATCCCTAATTCAAAAGCAATAAACTGCCCTAGGACACAGCAACACATCTGTTCTGGCTTGAGCTAGAACCAAATAACGAAATGGCAATGAATGAGTGAGTTCATGTGTGAGTAGAAAAGGAAAGACAGATCAGCAAATACCTTACTCTTCACTCATTTTGATATTGACTCACAGAGTGACCCTTCATCAGCGGCTTATGTAGCTGCCATTTGGCATTCCAGGTTCCTTTGTAGAACAACATAGAGTGCCACCCCCACCCCTTGCTGCAAGCACAGAGTCACTTCGTTTACAGGCTTAGCCCTGACCTTTTCCAGAGCCAAAACCTGAACAGGGATAGAATCTTTATTGTTGGTCTGGATAAAGCATGTCTTGGTAGCCTCAGCATACTTGTGAACCACTGTACACTCTCATCCCTGCTAGGGTTATGTGATCTGTGGAACTGAGTGCCTGCGTCAGTTTCCTTGCCGGCACCCCAGTTCTGTTATTCAGATCCCTGAAGATCTTCCCAGTCTTGTCAGGCCCATCCTCCAGAGAGGCCAACATTGTCATTTATGTTCTTAGCCACAGTCTGGTGACATTCCTCTGAATGGCTTTTCCTCAAGAAATGGCAAGCTCACTTGTCTGTTGGGAAGTGTTTCATCTCTGTCTGTCCTGCTAGTGTGCCCCATCTCCCAGATCATTTTGCTTTGGTTTTGGACAGCCTAAAGCACGCTGCTGTGCACCATGTTGATTTGAATATGCAAATAGAACTGGACATCAATCACTTTGGAAATATGTAGTTTATTTGAGCACATTTCCCTCCAGCCATGCCAGTGCTAAGATTCATGACCTTTTCCAGTGAAGAACCTCACTGAATTTAGAACAAAGCTTGTTGCATGTTTGAAAACCATGAATGTGTGATTTGTTCACAAGCTTACAAATACTTCTGAAAATTGGTAATTGTTGACTTGTCAAGTGACCTCTGTAAGTCCTTTTCAAAAGTTAACATGAATTCTTTCACAGTGTGACAATAGAACAACCTTTGTCAGAGGGAGGGAATCAAAATACCCTAGAACAAGGAGCTCCAGCACTTGATTTTAGCGCATATATAACACAGAACTCTGACATGGAAATTTTAAAAGTAAACAAAAATTATTCATTTTCTTACAGATTGAATGTGGAAGGGGAATTTGTTACAGAATTAAATTCACTTAGGTTTTGAAGGAAAAAATAAACCCATCAATGTTGTGTTGGTTATTATCTTTGAATCTGAGAAGTAAGAGTGTGTGTGTGTGTGTGTGTGTGTGTGTGTGTGTGTGTGTGAGAGAGAGAGAGAGAGAGAGAGAGAGAAAGAGAGAGAGAGAGAGAGAAAAGCTACAAATCAGGAGATAACACATATACGTACAATTTAATTTATATGTAATTAAGGATGAAAGGCTGGAATTAATACTGAAAATAGTAAAACATTCTTTATCTTATAGTTTGTGCTCCTCAGTAGCCATCTAGTAAGTTACCTCTCTGTGCCAGGCAGTGTGCCTATTCTTGGTCACACAGAGCTGGATAAAGACAAAGCCTCCAAGCAAAAGAAACTCACATTCTGTTAGTGTAGTGACAGGTAAACTAAGAAATATGTAAGAGTACAAAAAGTGCCTTCATATAATAATACCATGGAGAGTTGTGCTTATTTTCCATGACTACTGTGTGTCAGGTATTGTATTAAAAGCTGTAACTGTATTATCTCATTTAATCCTGATAATAATTCTATAAACATAGTTATCTATATTTTACAGCTGAGGAAATTGAGGCTTAGAGACAATGACATAATTACATGGTAGTAACACAAGGGAGTATAGTTAATGCTGCTTGGGTAACAACAAACGCTTTACAGTGGAAGTAATTCTTCAGTTGGTGGTTGAAGGATGCTCAGGATTGATAGATAATGGAAAAAATGAGTCTAGGTAGAATAGAGAGAGTGAGCCAGAGCACTGAAATTGTGTAGTATGTTCAGGGAAATGTAAGAAAAGTGATGTTGCTGTAGCATAGGTATGTATGGGTCAAGGGAGCATCAAGAGGTGAGCCTAGAGGACCATATTGTGAGGAGGCTAGGATGTTCTATTAAGAGGTTTAGACATTGCCTTGCAAGTGACCATTGGCTACGGGTGGGGTGGAATAGAGATTAGTCCCTGGGAAGGTTATGTTTGTGTTTTTGAAAGATTACTCAGGTAACCAATGTGTGAGATGGTTTGGCAATGGATTGGAGTGCCTTGAGTCAAGAGGCTTAATTAGAAGGTCATTGTACACCCAGGTAGCAGATGAGGTGTGCCTGAATGAAGACAATGGCATGAAGAGAGAGAAGAGAATGCTCTTGAAGATAGAGTAGACAGTATTGGTAATCGATAGGAAGTAGGTGATAGAATGAAGGATTGCTCTTGATTTACAGTTCTGTGGGCTGATATTTAAGAACAAAATGGATGACCAGGCACCTTGAATAATTTTCATTAGGTTTAACTGTATTAAGGAAGTGAGGAAACCAAATTGAAGACCATTTGCTTTTTAAAAGTGGTTCTGAGCAAGAGAAAAGGAAATACCCTAAATAGGCAAGGGACACCAGGAAGCTTTCTATCATCCCACCTCTTTCTATCACCCCACCTCTGATTCAAAGCACACCCGGCTCACATTATGTTACCAAGGTGTAAAAATTTATAAGTAGCCTGTACGTCAGTGGGAATTATTTTAATGCTAACATCGCGTTAATTTTATTTGACATAGATGACCTTAAAGGAATAGAAATTTGAGCTTATGTTTTGGGGGTGGGTGTAATATAATAAGATAGTCATGTGCCTCATAATGACATTTTGGTCAACAACAGACTGCATATGCAACAGTGGTCCCAGAAGCTTCTAATGGAACTGAGTAAATCCTATCACAGAAATACTTACCATAGTGTTACAGTTGCCTACTGTATTTAGTACACTAACAAGCTGTAGAGGTTTGCAGCCTAGGAGCAGTAGTTAGACCATATAGCTAAGCTGTATTGTAGGCTATCCCATCTAGGTTTGTGTAAGTACACTGTATAATGTTTGCACAATGACAAAATTGCCCTGTGAAACATTTCTCAGAACATATCCCCATTGTTAAGTAACTTATCAAGGGAGGAATAAGTTTGGAACTTTGAATACATTAGTGACTCTTGGCTGGCGGGAATTGAAGAATGTTAGACTGTTGAACAGTGATAGGTAATAGTGTCCTTTGATGAATCTTTGTATGCACAGTGGTGACCTAACTCCTAACTGCCACAGAATTATATTGGGTAAAGTGAAGTGGATGCCCAGTCACTTTTTCTAGTTTGCTTGGGGCCTGTGAGAAAGAACTTAAACCATTCCCAAACAGCGTTCAGAGATTTACTGCACCATCAGTGAGTGGATTGAGGGTCCTTGAGGATCAGAATGGTGAAAGAAACCAGAAGGCTATCTAGAGAAACCACCATATGTAAAGAAGGTAGAGCTGATTGGGTCAATCAGGGTGGACATGGGTTGCAGATATAATGCGAAGCTGTATCTGGTAATCTCACATCTCAGCCTCCCTCATGTCCACCAGGGACCTCAGAGCTCTGCTAGGGGACCCTTTTCTGAAAGAGCTGATCATAAGAAGTGGAGGATATTCCATTGCCAGTTCAAACGACAGAACAAAGCTAGAGGTCAATGGCTCAGAGGAGACTGTCAGTGGTCTATAGTCAGTGGAGCAACAGATGTCAACAGAATGGAAGAAGAGTTATAGACCAAGGAGACGAGGGCAGGAGGACTCCAAGTTTGCAACCAGCTCCAGCTCTGGTTATATGAGGATGCCCTGCTCACCCCACTCAAGGACTCTCTGAGGGAATAGCTGGAAAGGAGTTCTGGTGAGAAGAACAGACTTCCAGTTCTAGGTCATCAAATAAATGGAATCCTCATGTTCTAAGATGTGGCATCTAAATGACTCACGTTTGTACTTAATGATTGCTGAAGCCTGGAACAATTTTATTCCAATGAAAGATGCTCAATAATTATTCATTGAAAAAGTACAGGAATCATAAAACATTTTAGGATAGGTTAGGTTGGGTCTGACAAACAAACTTAAATGAGGAAAAAGTTTAGGTAGACAGTGGACACCTGATGTAAGAAATCAAAATTATGTAGCTCTTATTTTAAAAAATAATATTTAAAACATTTCTAGGATTCTTGGAGACAGAACCCCATTTGCCTTTAAACACCATGTTTTCCTTCTCTGTAACTAAGCTAAGCTGCTGGTGCCCCTTTTAGATCTGGAGGCAAACCTGCAGTCAGATAAGGAGAGAGGATTTCCATGTTATGGCACCAAGTGGCGATTAACGTTATGGCACTTAGTGCCATAAACGAGACAGGTGCCACTCAATTTTTAATGATTGACAAATTAATAACCTAGAATGAAAGTGTCATGAAAGCAGGGACTTTGTTTTGCTCAGTGTCATACCCTTAGCACCTATAATAGCTTCCAACACACAGTAGATGGTTGGTTAGTAAATATTTATTGAACCAATGAATCTCAGAGAAAATATTTTTTGACTTCTGAGTTGGGGGAGGAATAAGGAATGATCATAGTTATAATAATAATAGCTATTCCTTATTGAATGCCACTATTATTCACTACTATACTGGATGCATTTTATAGTTTATTTCAGTTAATCCTCCAAGTTACCTTATTAGATAGACACTGTTGTCTCCATTTCATAACTGAAGAAAACAAGGAATCAAAGAGGCTAAGTCACCGGACTACGATCTTATGGCTAGTATGTGGCAGACCCCAAAATGAAGCCTGTTTGTCTGACTTCAAGCCTATGTCTTTTCATTAAATGTTGCTGACACTCTATCTAAGATGAAACAATTTTCCTCTGACCGAAGAGCCTCTTGAGGGCCCTCTTCATGTCCTTGTTCCTTAGGCTATAGATAAAGGGGTTCAACATGGGAGTCACTATGGTATACATTGCAGCTGCTGCAATGTCCTTCTCTTCAGAGGCGATAGAGGGAGGACACAGGTAGGCACTGAAGAGGGTCCCATAGAACACACAAACAATGCAGAGGTGGGAACTGCAGGTGGAAAAGGCCTTGCCCGCCCCACCATGGGTTCGAATCCTCAGGATAGCAGGCACAATGTGGATGTAGGAGGTGACAATGCATAGAAAGGGGACAATGAGCACTGTGCCTCCCAAGACAAAAACCATCATCTCGTTGATGTGGGTGTCAGAACATGATAGCTTCAGGACAGGAGTTATGTCACAGAAAAAGTGAGCAATTTCCCCAGTCACACAGAATGACAGTCGAGCCATGAGGAGTGTGTGAGTCAGAGCAACAACATTGGTGAGGACCCAGCACAACACGAGGATTAGGGCACAGACTTGGGGGCTCATGACTGTGGAGTAGTAGAGGGGGCAGCAAATGGCCACATAGCGGTCATACGCCATGGCAGCCAGGAAGAAGCTGTCCAGATCACCAAACATCAGAAAGAAATACATTTGTGTGAGGCAACCCATGTAGGAGATAGTGTGATGCCGTGTCTGTACATTCACCAGCATCTTGGAAACTGTGGAGGACGTTAAACCCATGTCAACAAAAGACAGGTTGGCCAAGAAAAAGTACATGGGGGTGTGGAGGTGCAGGTCAGAGCCAATGGCCAGGATGATGAGCAGGTTCCCAGTCAAGGTGACAAGATATATACGCAGGAAAATTCCGAAGAGAGACTGTTGTTGCTCTGGAGACACAGATATTCCTCGGAGGAAAAACTCGGAAACGCTGGATTGGTTTTCCATGACTCTGCAGCATCTGGAGCTGACGGAAGACAGTTAGAATGCTAGATTTCATATAAAACTGCATGGGCTGACTCTCAAATCTCCCTTTAAGTTCATTGTATTCCTAATCCTGAGTTTATCTTCAATCCGACTCTACTTCTTTTCTCTCTTTCTCAGGGTCTCATTCAGCACCCCCCCTCCCCTCTTTCCCACGATTTAATCTCCTACACGGAGAGTACCCTTCCAATAAGGTCAGGGCATATTCTTCCTTGGCATTATCATGTCTTAGACTAAGCCTACAACCTCCTGTTAGTTTTACTCTTGCAGTAGGCTGTATATCTGAGTAGACCAAGGTCAGCTAAATTTTACATTCTTTTGGGAGGTAGTCGAAAAAACTCACACAAAATTCTTATTTTTGACACATCCTCATTCATTTTGGAGTGAAGGGAGTATGAAGGATTCATGCCTCTTTATTTCTTCATTTTTTGAAGAAGAAGAAAATATGAAGCCCTGCATTTCTCCCTGCATTTGAGTTTTTGTCATTGGATCATCATCATTCTGTAGCTAGTGCATATTACGTTAGCCACATATGTGACAGGCACTCTGCTGAGTACTTTAAGAAGATTCTTTCCTTTAATCCTTAAACAACACTAGGATACAGAGATTATTATTCTTACCCTTATATAAGAAAACTAAGGCTAGGGATGTTTAAGTGAATTATACAAAGACCCACAGCTCATAAATATTTGAGACAGAATTCAAACCCACAGCACTGGATTCCAGAGACTGCAACCTCAATCAACATAGATAGAAAGTAACTTTCTACCACCAAATTTATGTTTAATCTCTCAGTACTCCTAGTTTACCACACTTAGTCTCACTCGCCCTTACTATCTTTTATATTTGTCTTTTACAGAAGAACAATGAAGTTTAAGAACTAGATAGAACCTGTAAGATCACCTGGTCCAGAGGTCCCCAAGCATTGGTCTGTGGACCAGTTTATCATAATCAAGTGAGATGCTTGTTTAAAATCCTGATCCCGACCAGGCGTGGTGGCTCACGTCTGTAATCCCAGCACTCTGGGAGGCCGAGGAGGGTGGATCACCTGAGGTCAGTAGTTCCAGACCAGCCTGACCAACATGGCGAAACCCAGTCTCTATTAAAACTACAAAAATTAGCTGGGCGTGGTGGCACATGCCTGTAATCCTAGCCACTCAGTAATCTGAGGCAGGAGAATTGCTTGAACCTTGGAGGCAGAGGTTGCAGTGAGCTGAGATCACACCACTGCACTCCAGCCTGGACAATAGAGCAAGACTCCATCTCAAAAAAAAAAAAAGAAAAATTCCTGATCCCTACCTCAGACCTGTTGAATTTAAATTTCTAGGATACAGTTTAGATACCTGTATTTAAAAACTAAAATTGAACCCTTCTCAGGTATTTTGATGCTCAATGAGGATTAAGAAAATGTTGCTTAGTCCAACTCCTCCCTTTGATTCAGATACATAAGCTAAAGTTCAAAAGAATGAAATGATTGAAAAAGTTTACACTATGTCTTGGAGGAAGATATGGTACAAAAACCAGGATATCTGTGCTCTCAGACAGGTGTTCTTTTTAAAAATCAGCTATCTTTTCATTTTCTGAATTATTCTTTGTTATTAATATCTTACAGATCTAAATGTGTGTTTTCCTGATTTATATTCAGAGGCTATACCTAAACAAAAAGTTACCTTCAAATGGATAGCTTTAGTAAAGCACTGTTCATATTTTGAAGTGGATACTTCAAACGTTAGATAGAGGAACATCTGAGAACTATTGCATATGTATCTATTTCTGAACCCTGCACTGACTGAAGTTGTATAATCTCAGGGTTATATAACTTCCCTGAGAGATCAGAAAGCTACAACCCAAGTTATTTTCTCCCCTACTTCATCACATGATAGGGCACATTCTGACAAGGCACATTCTGATAACCATGTCCCGGAGGATAAGAGATCCTCTTATGATTCAGCTGATTGTCTCATCGAGAAGGGTTACAAAGTGGCAGACAATGCCATGTTTTCCTGGCATGGAGACCCTGCCTTCAGCAAGTATCTCCTTTCATTGAGGTTTTCAAAGAGACTGTAAGTTATTTTAGGGAAGAGCAGCGTCGTTTTGATCCTCCATGTTGGCATATATGGCCTTGATCAGGCTATTTCTGTGGGTTCTTCGATCTATGGCACCAACTGCTTAACATCAGAAAACCCCCCAAATCTTCAAAAAGGGTCAAAGGCTCGCCATCGTAAGCCTAGCTTTTTTACCTTCTGTCATTTTTTTCTCTACTCAAGCACCTTGCACCATCTCTTGCCCTGTCATTTGGTTTTTCTCTTTCCCCAAAAGGGTTTCTCATCCTTCATCCTATCTATGGCCTCATAAAACTCTGTAGATCCTTGAGACATTAATGGGTGTTTCCAGAAACTTGAGCCAATCCTTCCCTCTGTCATCCCAGGGTAATGAGGTCCCTTTACTTACCTCCACTGCCCTTTCATCTGTGTCAGCCAGCAGATAAAAGCTGGCTTGAATATGATGGAGAGAGTATTCCAAATGTAGGACATGCCCACCTGCAACTGTTTGTTTCAAGTTACCCTGCTTGCCGCTACCATGGTAAAGGAGAAGGCAGTACAGAGGTCCTTAATTTGAGGGGAAGAGCTCAGATTCTTCCTGACAATCTCTGTGATGGCATTAACTAAAATCAGGGTACGGGATCAAGAATAATAAATGCAAATGGCAAAGAGCTGGAAGCAGAAGTCAGATTGCTAAACCAAGATTAAAAACATACTCAAAAGGGCTTAAGGGAGGGATGGAGAGACTAGGATTGTAGAGAAGAAGTCCATGAGATTAATAAAGGACTGCAAAGCCAAGTCAACGCCAGATCAGTAGAGGAGGCTGGAGCAGTCACAGTTACGTTCATCAGCTAGAACAGAGATCAGAAAGAAGAGTATTTGAGATGACTTGGGACGCATGGTACTCTCATCCCACCTAACCAAGATCTCTGGGACTTTTGAAGTTTTCTATATTTATATTTTGAAACCTGAACTGATAAACTCAGAAGCAGGGAGCTGCTGGCTCATCAGGCTACTACCAGGAGGAAGCTGAACGTGCTCCACGTAGGGCATCTACATACAGGGAGTCATGGGACAGAGCTCCCTAGAGCCCTGTTAGTATTAACCCTCATAATTGCCCAATTTTCTCTCTGTATCTCTTATAACAGACCAAATTAGTACAGTGCTGGCTTTATTTAAAAATTGGGAAGCTTTACTTCTTTCTTTATGTTAAGTGGTAGTGTTAAGGAGTTAAGGTATTAGTATTGATTTGTAACCACAGTCTTTGGCAAAAATGAACTTTCTGTGTAAATGCATCTCTTTGCTTCCCCCTTACAATAAGGTTTTTGTTTCTAACACCCTCTAAAAAAACCCCACAAGCTGCTAACATCTACCTTTACAAACAATTTAATGGCATATGACATATCTTTAAAGAAGTCTTATGCTTCTGGTTAATGATGTTATACTAAACTCATGTATCTAATTTTATTCCATCCATAAACTCTACTAAAAAGTGATTAAAAAAAAAAAGACATAAAACCCACAAGGACAGAGAAGAGAGGCAAGCAAATAGTAACCACAAGTTGTGGAAACTAGAAACCAGATGGATACGTGGGTGATGACCGACACTGCCCTCAGCTTGATCAAACTTTAGATTGATTTCTTCCTCACTATAGGCCCCTGGCTTCCCTTTTCTTTACATTTGCATTAGAGAACTTATAATTGTAATTTTTTTCTCTGCTCTTTTGAGATGTAAATATTCTCCTAGATTCTTGATGGTTTCATAGCTCAAGAATGTCTTTCTCCAGGACCTGGGAGCTATTCCTTGGAAATGTAATCATGAAGAAAGATAGGTTCTAGTTTCATTCTTCTGCATATGGATAGCCAACTTTGCCAGCACCATTTATTGAATAGGATATCCTTTCCCCATTTATTTTTGTTGATTTTGTCAAAGATCAGTTGGTTGTAAGTATGTGACTTTATTTCTAGGTTCTCTATTCTGTTCCACTGATCTATGTGTCTATTTTTGTAATAGAACCATACTGTTTTCATTACTATAACCTCATAGTATAGTTTGAAGTCAGGTAATGTGATGCTTCTAACCTTACTCTTTTGCTTAAGGTTGCTTTGGCTATTTGGCTCTTTTTTGGTTCCACGTGAATTTTAGAATTTTTTTTTTCTAATTTTTAAAAAAATGATGGTAATTTGATAGGAATTGCATTGAATCTGTAGATTGCTTTGGGCAGCATATTCATTTTAATGTTATCGGCTCTTTCTATCCACGAGCACAGGGTGTTTTTCCCTTGGTTTGTGCCATTGAAGTGGCCTCATTGCCTGTGCTCGCATCTGAAGTTCTTGGTCTCATGGCTGAGAAAATAAAAAATGTGGACACACCAAGAGTGAGGTCAGAGCAGAAGCAGAAGTTTAATAGGTGAAAGAAAGAGAATAGCTCTCTGCAGCAGAGAGGGGTCCTGGAAAGGGTTGCTGTTTTTACAGTTGAATGCAAAAGTTTGTCCCATGCAGCCAGCCATCTGAATTCTGTCATTGTAGATTAGGTTTGCTTTTCCCAGAGTCAAATAAATAGAATCGTACAGTATGCACACTTATGTCTGGTTTCTTTGGCTCAGCAAAGTGTTTGAGATTCATCCATGTTGTGGTGTATATCAGTAACTTATGTTTTCATTGCCGAGTAGTATTCTATTGTATACCACAATTTGTTTATGCCTTCTATAGCTGATGGGGATTTTGGCTGTAACTATTTTTGATCATTATGAAAAAGCAGCTATGAACACTCATGTACAAATTTTTGGGTGAACACATTTCATATGATAACTGTATGTTCATAATTTTAAAAATATTCATTTTCCAAAGCAGTTATACCACTTTACATTTCTACCAGCACTATAAGGGTATTCCAGTTGCTCATATTTTTTGTTGTTTAGA